GATGGTTTCAGCTCCCGCACTCTCTCCTCCGCTCCCGTGGCGTGGGGAAGGCGACGGGGACCCCGGAGGAGCCCCTCAGATGCTGAGGTCGGTGCTGCACTCCTTGTACGGCCGCCTGCGCTGCTCGGGCGGGTGCCTGCGGCTCGGCTCGTGCTTCCAGCCAGGGTCTTCCCTCTCCCGGTGGCCGACTCGCTCCTCCCTGAGCCGTCTGTCGGGCGACCTCTCCCTCCGCCGGTCGGACGACTTGGCCCGCCGGTCAAGGGAGCTCTCTCTTCTCCGATCGGGTGACCTCCTCGGCTCCGTGAGTCTCTCCAGCGACCGCCGGCGGCGACTGGGTGACCGCTCTCTGCGCTTCTCAGGGGAGAGGTCTCTCCTCCTCTCGTGTCGCTCCCGCCTCTCCAGAGTGTTGTCAGCGCTCCTCGTCCCTTCCCTCCGCTTTTCGGGAGACCTCCTCTTCTGCCCATTCACCACCGCCCTCTCCGGCTGCCGCTCGTGCCTCCTCTCCGGCGACCTCTCCATCCTCCTGCCTGGCACGTGGTCGTTGGTTTTAGAAGTCCCATTCCAAGTGTGGTGTTCGTTGGGATGTCTGCTAAACTCTCTGCTGCCTTTTAGGTCTCTAACGTAAGTCCGCTTGTCCCCATGTTGTGATGATTTGTGAAGGTCTGGTGGATAACTGGACTCCGATGATGGGTGCTGCCGTCGGTCGGATGGCACGGGTTTCATTTCCGATACATTTTGTGAACCTGTGGCGGGACTGTTCCTGTCACTGCTGGGGTCTGAAAGAAAATAACAGCAAAGCGTTTGGTACCGATGCCTTCCGCGGCGCCGTGACACCACTTATCACTCTTCAGACTTCATTAGTGACAAAAACAAACAACTGTTAAAGCAGTCAGCGAAGGCTAACCAAAGCTTTTGTTAATTTAACTGCGAACAACGAGAGTTACAGGTTAGTACTGGTGCTGCTCTGTTCGTTAGCCGTGTTTTGGTCCAAGCCGATATCATCTTTATGCTCTTCTTGTCATGGGGCATTTTACATTTTCCCCAAGCCCAATTCATAATGTTTCGGTTACACTACTTTCTTTCCAGTGGAAAAAAAAATATTGTAGTTCGGGTTGTTGGCTGTTTTTTTAAGTTTCCAATAAAGAGGGCCTTTAGGAAACAATATTTTTCTTTTGAGTCCTTTGAAAGAACTGCCTTCCAGGTGTGGGAGGCCTTGTTTCAAATAGCAGAAAATGTACAGAAAATAGAATTGATTATTAAGTTTTCACCTCATAAAATAACATTTTGAAGGTGTGAGAATTAGACTGTAATAATGCAATTTCCATTTCATTTAAGACATTACTTAATCTCCTTAGTTCTACCATGTTATGAAAACTCCTAGGGTAGATTTTGGTTTTGCCACAATGATTCGAACAACGATGACAGAAGTTATGATTTTTTCATATCAAAGCAATGGAAAGATATTGTAATATGTAGGATGGCTCTGATTAAAACCTAATCTCCAGTTCATTATTTTACTGTAGTATTTCAGGTAAAATACAGCTGAGCTACCTCTGCGAGACAAGCTGCAAAGCGGGAAAAAAAACAACCCCAAAACTAAAAACCAGCCCTGTGCTGTAGCTAAGCTACAATTACTCACGTCATTTGTGACGGATGTTTATGAATGATTCATTATAGACATGGCAAACTTTAAAGTAGCTGCACTGACTTAATGCGAGCGTTGCTTTTATTTGCTTATTGTTTTCTTTTTTAAAGTAACTTCTGCACGGCAGCTCGGCTGGCGTTAGCTACGCTTCCTGCAGGCTTCCTGCCGCTCGCACCGAGACACCCACCTCGAGGTGGACTGTCCTGATGGCAACGACTGAAAACCCTCACAAACGCTTGTGGGGACAGACTTTTTTTCTGGTTTTCTCCTTTTTGTCTTCCCTCCCCCAAGCCAAACACTCTCACGCTCATTCCTCCTGCCACCACACAAAGCGTCTCCCATTTGATGGCATTTCCATTCCTTAGCTTGGGAAGGTCGGTGTGTGCATGGGCCATGATTTTTGTGATTTCCAGGTGAAACCCGTGTCGTGACTCACGTGTGTGCGTTTTTGCTTATTAGCATTTTCAGGCAGCAGCTGGGGACCACACCGCTTTTCCGTAGCTGTAAGCACGTGGCTTGCGGCAACCTGGCTATCGCACAAGGTACAAGCGAGGTTTAAACGTGTCCTGCGGTGTACTTACAACTCAGGGGACGCAGGGTGCTCGGAATGAATTGCTGTACATATAAAATATAGCGAAGCGGAAAGCAATGTGAGGGAATTAGGCCACAGCACAAAAACACCTAATATTGATTTTAGCTACAAACCGTAGTTTGATTATGGCCCATAAGGTAGAAGCAAGACTCCCCGAGCTTGTCATTTCTCATACATGCAGCGATATTAGGAGGTATCATCGCTGAGGAAGGAAGAGCCCAGCACCAAGAAAAGTAAGAGAAAGAGAAAGAGAAAAGTAGAAAATTTAGATTCCCTATAATAAAGATGAAAGAAAGAAAAATCTTCATATTTTATCTTAGAATAAAGAAAGTTTATTTTTCCAGTCAGATTGTCTAGGCTTCACCCAAATATAAGGCTGCAAAGACAGCAGTTGTTATTATCGTGACATAAAGAGACGTCTAAGAGGTGATTCAATAACCCAGACAACGAGAGCATCCATTCTAAAAGACAGCTGGAACAGCGACACAGAATGTCATAGAAAAAACATTAACAATCAAACAACAACGAAAAATAAAGTCCACCAGAGACCACAACATTAAAAATAAGTACAAAACTCATTACAAAAATATACAGCCTCATAGAGAAGCACGTTCCAATCAAGTCAGAAAAATATTGGAACTTAACATTATTAGAGGAACCATTTGCGACTGCAGCGAACAGAACGAAGAGAGGAAGGAGCCCCAAATGTTACAAGGATATTCTTTACAGTAGTGCAAACCCTGTATATTAAATCCTTGCTTGGAGAATGAACGTTTAGTGGTTTAGCATTAGCCAAAAGAAAATTGGTGGTGGATTTCCATCCTCAGTGCAACAGACATACGCTTTGAGAAGTGAAGCACTTAATTTACAGGGTATTTATGCAGTCTAGCATATGATACAGTACTGTACATCCAAAGGAGTATAGGAAAAGACAAAAGTAGAAAGAACGTTACAGAATTTCAGTGCCATCATTGAACCTTCTGGTGTGCTATTTATATTACAGAAGTGTAAACACACAACTTCCTCTCCATATTGTTAAACACTTCAATTGTTTGTTGGTTATACTCTGAATTGGTCATTTTAAGTTAAATAATGAGCAGAGTGAGCAGAAACTCTCAAATGTGGTACAGTAAATGAAAAGAAAATCTAGTTCACAAATTGTGCAAAGGGTTTTGTTTCTGGTTTTAGGACACGGAGTGAATGATAAACACAGAACTTACTGACACAGAAATAACCCAAATACGGGGAGGAAAGTATAAAGGACATCCCTTCAATCATCAGTTTCTATAGAAACCTCAAAGACCTTTGGTTGGGAGTAGCCCTCCATCGAGGGCACAATATTTGACAATTATCTCAAATAAATAAGACATAATTATAGTATTAAATAGTGTGCTAAGTTAAGCCACCCAGCAATCCAACCTCCGGGGGAAGAAAAGGAAATCTAATGCAATTCTTAGTAAGAAACGAGGACTGAATGTTTCCCCCAAGACAGACACGAGAGCACCTTTTCATAACCTCCTCACCTTTTCAGACCTTACAAATTAACTAGTTGAAACCAGCAGACAGTTTAAGGGGGGAGAAAAGGGCTCAGGAGGCCAAATCAATATATTTTTGCAGTAAAGCTTTTTTTTTTTCTTCTTTTTCTTAAATAACTTTATAAATATTTACATAAATATTAAGGGAAGGCAAAAAATCTCATAAGCCATCTCAGCATTCATGTCTATGGAACAGACAGGAACTAAGAGAAAAACCTAACAAAAAAAAGCACTGCTTCAGAATAATAACTCAGGATCCCAGTTTTTGCATTGATTAGAAGTAGAGACCTATTTGAAACAACAATTCAGCCGCTGAGAAACAGTTTGGCACAGTTCAATGACATTCCTTGTTTGGCTGGACAAGACAATAAGTTTGTTTTGTTTTGTTTTCCTCTCTGATCACCAAAAATACTGCTATGATGATCTTGCCTTACACTGCGCCCCAAGTCCATGGAAGCAAGCAAAGGATGAAATGTGTAGAAAATTCAGCACAAGCGAGGCAATTAACCATATGTTGCAAAGGTTGGTAAGACACTGGTGAGAAAGGAAAATAAAAAAGAATTCCCGCTTCAGATCTTGAGACAAATCATTCATGGAGTGATGCCAGGGAAGAAAGGAATGTTTTCATAGTTTGACCCACCATATTCTGGGACAGAGCCATCTCCACGTTTCAGAAACAGGCGGACCCTGCGGCCACCGTTTTTAATCAGTTCGATGGCCCGAGCATGCTTCATGTTCTTGGTAGTTTCTCCGTTGATCTCTAAGATTTCATCACCGATCTGTCAATGTAATAAAAGAAAAGAGTCTGAGATTGGAAACAAGCCCCCACAAGGGCCACCACCAGCACACCACAAGACAACAGCCACAGCAGAGGTGGAAGAAGAACTATGCACCAGGTGAAGCTAAATACGCCCAACTCCTTCCAGTGACAGTCCACAAAAAAGAGTATGCAGGGGCCTGGGAGATATCAAAATATTTCATTGCTGTTCTGTAAAACCACCTTGCATTACTGAACTGCTCAATACCTAGAGCTGTGTTAGAACTGGTGTTATTTTATTTTAGTTTGATTATTTGTAAAGCCTTTGGTCAAAGTGGTGGTTTGTTTCACAGTCTGCTGTAACTAGGATGTTCAAATAGCTTTTTCAGGTCCATTTCTCACTTGGATATAGATACCTACTATGAACCAGTAAACCTGCTTTTGTAAATATAATCATTTCTCAGGATAGGAAAACAGGGCTTGGAAGAGCTTGTCAAAGCATTGGCTTCCACAGGGCAGCACTGATTAATTTTCATCAGCAAAAATTTTGGACCTATAAATCCAGCCCTAGCAAAAGAATTTTGAAAATGCCCTTCGTGCGATGTATCTGGAGAAGAAAAAGACACATGCTGTAAAATTATCAAGCACTCTCTAAGAGAGGAGCAAGGAGTACATAAAACTCGGCAATTTAATTTTTTGGTAGGCATTTTATAACACGTCCTTGTTATAATTTTATAATCTAGATGATATGTGAAGTTAATAGTTAATACTAATGAAAAATTAACACTATAATTTTGCAATCCACTGGTCGGTATACACGCTCCCTCACCACTCTACCGCCCAGCAGAGGAGAGGACACCCCAATCCTCTACTCATGGCTCCAGCTTTAAAGAAGCCGGCAAAGATTGCGGCTATTACATTTTCATTGTTACATGTATCTTTGTTACGCTTTAGAAGTCAGATTATGTATTAGAATTTGGAAACCCAGGTTGGAACAAGGTGGTGAAATCTTCCAGTGCACACACACCGTTATAGACTCTATACAAAGAGTGACAGAAGCCATTGACAGAAGTAAATAGGAACCTCTGCTCCTTTCAGTTAACATTTAATTTTCCTCTTAGCTGGCACAGCAGAAGGTGTGCCTGTAGGGGAGAGGCATGGAAGTCAGCTTATTGCAAAGAAGCATGTTTTTTAAATCTGTTTGTGCATACCCTCATCTTCCCACATCTCTCAGCTGGACCATCCTCAGCTAGCCGCAACACGTACAGATCCATATTATACTCCCGGCCACCTCGCAGGCTAAAGCCAAACCCTTTGGCTCCTCTTTCCAGCTCAACAGTGTAAAAGTCTTGGTCCTGCTGGAGGGAAGACAACATATACGCAATTGAACAGAAAGTTAAATGCCGCTCTACTCTCATTTTTAAATTATTCAACCAACAAATGTTATTATTTTTGTTACTCATAATTAAAAAAAGAAAATCAGTTGAGTTTTCACACACAGACCAGGATTTCCTGCTTCCTCAGATCCGTGTGCCAGCGGTGGTCTGCAAAGGGCTGTTTGGATGAATGGGCTTGGCCATGTCCCATGTATACAACACCTCCTGTGCCCAGGGCAGAAAGGCGCATTTCTGGAGGGCGGTCAGCGTTCTACCAACCGCAAAGGCAGACTAGGGCAACCTCACTTCCCGTGCCAGGCTTTAGTTAAATGTCTAATGGTACCTGGGACGAGTCTATGCCACAGTGCTGGCTTTTCCTTTTTGTTACCACCTCATCTATTCCTTTGCAAGAAGCTCAGAAGTACGTGCATTGTTTTTCACAAATGCTCTTAGCGTAGGGATGTTTTGAAATCCCTAATGGAAGAGGTTATTTCTGGGATGGCCAGTGGCAAGGAAAGTTAACAGTGAGATAGATAATCTCTCCAATAAGATGCCGTCTGCAAAAGCTGGAACACTCCAGCTATTGCCCCTTATTAAGTTTTCTTCTTTTTTGTCCTCTGAATTTATCATTTGCACACAACAGTACTTTCGGGAGAGGCCCCTCAAAATATACAATTCAATAAACAAACAAAAATTATTAGTGTCGTAAAAATGTCAGCTTTTTTTTTTTCTTTTTTTTGTTCTCCCAAAAAGTCTTGATGAGAATGTGTTGGAAATGTTTCTCAGCTGAAACAACAGCAACACATATTAAGAAACTAATCAGCAAATTCCTCTTTCTTCAGCAAACAGACTGAGGGAGAACAGCTTCCCAGTAGGAACCTTCAAGGGAAATATTTGAACACAGCCCTCAAGCAGATTGGAAGCAACAGTCTGTGGTAAACAAAACAATTAGAAAGGTACTCCTTACCTGGGCTGCTTGGGGTGGTTTGAAATCAAACTGGGATTCCTGCTTTGGTTTGGTGTTGTTCCTGCTGTAACGAGTGAGAGAAAGAGGGAGAGAGGAAAAACACAGCTCATGGGATGTGAAGATGATCAAGAAGTAACCAAAGAGAGAGCATGTCAATATGCTCTCCTCAAGGAAAACAATCTGACCTGGTCTCCTGTGGTATTTGCTGAGGAGTATGTGTGGTTGTAATTGTAGCAATTTTTTCTGCATTGGTCAATAAAGTAGCATTGGAGGATTCTGCAAAATAAATTTTTTTTTCATTATGAGGGAAAACCATTGGCTATTCACTGATAAAACAAAAGTTTTACAAAGGCATTTCACCGGAAAGCATCATTATGTTGTTTTTAAAGAACTTGAGATTGGCTCAAATTTCTTAAATCCAAAAATTAACAGGATAAAGTCTAAGCTAAGTCATAGTAATTATGTATATGAAACTGTACAGCACCTCTGTTGCAGAGAAATATTGGCTTTTGAGTTGCACATCGAAACGTAACGTGATTTATCGCTCGTGGCTCAGCTTTTTTCTGGTATCTGTCATCAGATGTACCAAATTACTGTGTAATCTGTTTTTCATCTTTGTAAGAGAAAAACTTCTAAGCACCCCTAACCAACTAGGAAACATTGTCATATAACTGCTGCTGCTGTATCCTATGTTCTTGAAAAAGTCAAGGCTTTAGTGAAGGCATCATATTTAGCTTAATCATCACTGCAAAAGTTAATTAGCAAAGAATGTGCATACCAGAAACTGCCACAGCTACCCATCACAAATAGTGTAGAGCAGGGAGTCAAATATTTATATATATTTATACAATATATAGTATATTTATATAATAAATGCACAAATGAGGAGGTTTTTTCAGTAACCAAATACATCAGCACTCTCATTTTTCTCAAGAAAAAACCGAGGCCACTCAATTGGCAAAAGAAAAAAAAATATAAAAAAATTGGGAAATCTGGATTAGAAACATCTCTGACCGTTAGACACACTCAGAACAAAGACTGACTTGTGGAGGAAGGGCTGAAGAATGTTTTGACTGTTGTCTATTGACATGAATTCCAATCATTAAAGTCTCCAAATATGGTAGGTTGACTGGATTAATTTTATAGTAGCAATAACTATTCCATGGATTATAAGCTTATCAGTGCTTCCTCCATCAGAAGCTGCAATCTTCAGTAGGATTGAGATGCGGCTTTTATCTAATACCTCACAAGGTGATATTGAATGTGCCTAAAACCCAAACTTCCTGAAATCCATCTTTGAAATACAACCCACTGCTGCCTGCGCACTCAAAGCTGCGCACAGGGACGTGGAACCACCTGTACCAAATGCATCAACAGCTCTGGGTACCATTTACAAAAGGGTTCACCAAGAGAATACAGAGAGGAGGATTAATTTCAAAACTCAATTTATGCCATGGTAAAGGGCTCTCAGCCCAACATCAGCCTGTGCAAATGCTGTATTTCTCTACGCACAGAAGAGGTGCTTCCAGGAGAGGTCCTCTCTCCTGCTTCACAAAACTGGGAAGGGCGTTGCTGTAGGCACAACTGAAAAGGGACTATCTAGGTGTCCCTCACAGCATGGCATGGCAAAATGGTCCCCTTGTCATTTTGGAGCTTTATCATAGACTTCAATAAGACCAGACTTAACCCAGAACTCATTTAAAATTCTGCCTAAAATTGAGGTCATGCACCTTGTTTCTTGACTGAATTTCTCTAGTTCCAATCCCACTTAAAAAAAAGCCACCATCAGACAACAGCAATGAAAACCGGGTGGAAACATCTGGCTCTCCAACATAAAATTACAAGGTCTTCTACCCTGCCCTTGTTTGCCTCTTAAGCTCCAGGCATCCGGCAATTCATTTTATTGACTATGGAGAAATCTGCCATTATTAAACAGAGTCCAGCTGTAATACAAAATTGCAGAAATGGGAGGTTTTTTGCCTGAATTAAGGAGAGGTGGTGGTCATGGGCTTACTTGGTCTTGGGAACCTATTTTATTTCATGGATTTATTTTAATTGTGGAGATATCCAGATGAGGTGAAGGTTTTTCCCTTCTGTGCATGTCAAAGGAAACTCAGGAAAAGGGAAAGAGAAAGAGAAGACCATTTAAACAGATGGGTGCAATGAGAGCACAGTTCTTTTGCCTGCAGCACTGTGCCCAAGTTAACATGCCCAAACACTCAGCATATGGAGCTATAACATCTTCCAGACCAGAGCTGGCTTGTGTCCGGTGGCTCAGAAAGCAAGAGAAGCTCCTGGGTCTGCCTGCACCTCTCAGGATAGGCACGACCAAAACATGCCCTTGTGAGGATGTGCCGCTGACAGCTGGCTTGCGTGAGAAGGAGACGTCCCTATGTGTGGTTACACTGTTGGAATTTAAGGAATAATTCTGTGTATTTTGTAATGATGCCTTGATGCTAAAATTTGTCTCCAACATAAGAAGGCCCCAAAACATGGTTAAGTGTTCTGTATTCATCCAGAACAAAAGCCTCTGAAAACCTCCACAAATACTTGGAGATCAGATGACGATGGGCTTCAAAGAGAATGCAAGGTTCCTACCCTTTAGTAGGTCACACTAAGAATACCAAGTAGAGCAACAACACATCTTGGTACAGATGAATCTTCACGCCACTGTACTGTATCTATCTTTAGCCCACCCTATCCCATGAGTCAGGAGTTGTGCATAATTTTGCTAGTTTTTTAGACACTGGTTCAGGACGCATGCCAGCCACCATGCAAAACGGGAACAGAACACAATTACAGGAAAAATTATCTCTAGTAGAATTACAATTATACGTTCTAAATCCTAAATATTTCATTGATTCCTTGCCCTGTTCTGCCCTAGAACACTGAGACACCAATTAAATGCCTAATCTAAGCTTGTAATTTTTCAGCTCTCTGTGTCCTTGCATCAGCTGGTAGTACGTTAAAGCATCGTAATTTCATTGCAAATGCACTCCTGCAGTGGTCTATGGCAATGAGATGGTGCAAGACTTATTACACAGCAAAAACCCTTGGTGGTTTTAATAATGTTAGAAGAGATTAGCAGTGTGAGTTTATTGTGAGTCTTGTGATGAGCCTTAGTTTCATGTTTATCTGAGAAGCGTGGATTCTGATTTATTCTGTTTTCCCCCTTTTAAGTGCACCGTTAGACCATTTATATTTACCAAAAAAGCACCCCAAAAGCAACAAAAACAACAAATCAACAAAGTACTCAAAGACAGCAAAAAGAAAACAACATTGAGACCAATTTCTTAAATCGCATTTTTTTTAGAGCAAACCTCTCAGCAATTTTGAGAGTGTCTGGTCTTACTGGCTTTTGGAAATTAAATTCCAGGTAATTCTATGCAGAGTTGGCAACCTGACTTGGAATTTCAAAGGGACAGTAAATAAAAAGACTCGAAGCCTGCATTGCTATGAGAGAGAAGAGTTGACTCCTTCCCTAAATTACAGCTTTCCACCTTCTCCAGGAATACCTGATGTCAGTCACAGGTACAGATTTCCCTTCTAACCTAAGCAATTTAACATGGTATTTTGTACACGTATTTGCATGAACAAGACTGGCTGAGCATTCATGTCAGGAGGCTATATTCATCTTAAAAAAAAAATCTTAAACCATTCAAAAATTATTTATTTCTTAGGTATTTTTGCCTTTTCAAAAAATATTTATTTATTTATTCAAAGATTCACCTTCCTTGATTTTGATCAGATACCAAAATACAGGTAATGAACAATTCTTCTCCCAGTTTACCTTCCAAAACTGGCATGCACAGGCCAGCTCAGATGTTAGCCTGATTCACAGCCATTTTATTATTCACGAACACTCAATTTCCTGGAAGCAGCAAAGGATCATATACCATTTGACCTGGTAGCTACTAAACAGTAGGAAAATAAAGCCTTTATGCAAAACAAATCATCCTAAACAGAAATAATTTATAACCAGATCATTTCTCATCCTGGCCTATTTATATCCTGTAACTAAACATAGCATAATCATGCTCTGTGGGGTAACGAAATCCATGCTTCAGATTAGAAAGTACGAGAGTTAGCAACGACCGAATGCTTCTCACTGGAAATCACACCATGTAACTTCTTCATTCTGCTTTACAGGTACCAGGTTCAATTCAGCCATACCTTCTCAACCTTTCTTTCAAACTTAATCACACTTTCTCTATATTTAACTGAATGCAAATAATGTCCTGTACAACTCTAAGAAATGCTCATTAGCACTGTATCTGAGCCATCAAATCTTATACTCGTGGATTCAGCTTAAAAAGAAAGCAGTGTAGAAAGATTTCTGGCTAACGAGTTCTCACTATGAACCCGTCCATGGCAGAGCAGGACAACGAACAAACAAAATACTTAGAATTTAGAACCACAGAAATTTTAGTTCTGCTACAGATACTTTACATACGTTTCTGCTCTGTTCCTATTTGGCATCACAGCTAGGGATCAGTTTAATGAAACTGATATATAACACAGATCCTTATTTTTATTAAATAGTTCAATGACCTGAAACCAGTACCAAGTGTCAGCGTATTATTAGGGATCCTGCACGTTCCCTCTGATCTGGAACAGCGAGATTCTGTCTAGGGTAACTCTTACAACGATCAGCTGCAAGCACACAGCAGCTCCAGAGCCATCGCCATTTAACAAAGTCATTTCAAAATGTACTGAGCTCGCTCCCAAAGCAACTTACGCAGAATAAAAACAAATCTTCTTTTCAATCAGCTCAAAACACGACAAAGTGTTTATCTCTTTCTGTGATCTCTTTACTCTATAGCCTGCTTGTGTATATACAAAGCTTCAGGAATCCCACATATTAACAAGTGATTCCCAAATATTCTAAAGCTGCATTATTAACCTAAGAATCAAATCAAAGTGTACCGAGATATGCATCAAATTTACAGAAGATCATTTTACGGAGATACGTGGAAGAACATGATAGAATGGAATATTATTTTTTTAATGTAGAATCAGCACCTCCCTGTTTAAAAAAAGAACTCCCATTTCTATAGAAAGAAACAAAAAATAAAGCTATGGAAGACTCACAACCTCCCTCACTGCTAATTCCCAAAGTGGGAGTGGAAATTGAGTCCTCCATGACTTTGCAGCTCCGACTGATGCAAAAAGCCCGGAACAAAACCAGCGAGAGGGTCAGATAAGACAGCAGGAAACATATACTTTACCATCTCCTGGAATGATGCGCAGGGTAACGGTGTTTCCCGCTTCCTTAATGAGGTTGACGATGTCTGAATGCGACTTGTTGGTGATGGAGCACCCATTCACAGCCAAGATCCGATCGCCTACTTTCAGCTTGCCACAGCGGTCTGCGGGACTCCCTTCAATTATCCGACCTATTTTGTGAGGCATGGCCACACATGCATTTCCCGCTTTTGTATTGGTTTGGGGGTTGTTTTTGTTTTGTTTTGTTTTGGTTTGGTTTTTTAATTGTTTACATACGTGGGAATATGGTGAAGGGGAAAAGGAGAAAAAGGGTTGAAAAGGGAAAGAGAAGGTTAAGGGTTAATTAATTAATGCATCAAGCAAAAGTTATTATAGGATAGCTTTGCTGCCAGTGTTCAAAACATTGGCAATCAACTAGTATGAGTGCACAATACTTTACTTTTTTTACAAAAAGGTGTTTTGTTAATCACTCAAAACTCCCCCCACCTTGATTTCTGTTAATAAATGGTAAGATTTTTATAGACTACAACTGCACTTAGCAGCCCCATCATAACCCGAATCCTGATTTTATCTTTGAACAAAAAAATTGAAACTGTTTGTAGAAAACACAACCTTCCTCCTCCAGGATTACATCAGTGTCAGCCTCTCTAGTCTTTCTCTAGTCAACTGCTGTTCAAGCTTCTGCCAATGTTTTGTTCTTTCTCGATTTAGAAAGATAAAATTGTTCTAGGCCTAGGAGGGAGTGCAACTCCCTTTCTACCACAAAGACCCAATCTATCAGCGCTGCGTGGGGAAGCAACATGAAACGGTTTTCTTCTATTGTGAATAAAGGTACTACCAGGGAAGGTACAGGACCACTACAGATGGGCCAAGACTGACAAAGGTAACCTGTTTGGTGCAGGCATCCACCTCAGCCTGTGTTAACCCTTCCCCTTTTATGATCTTAGATGGCATCAGGACGGGAGCAGGGAAGGAATAAGGACCTCCTCATTTAAATACCTCTAAAACCACACACAAACCCATTGAGAAGTCTGGCACCCAGAGCAAGAGCACTTTAGGATGAATGTGTTTTGGAGACAAAATTTTCCTCCTGTTCAATGCAATTGCTTGTCCCAAAAACACAGGGTCGTCCATAGAATGCAGAATTGGGACACAGGGGATACACAACTGCACTCAGATAAATCCACTGGGCTTTTGTACGGCTTCTTCATACGGGCAAGAGGCCCTCGGGCACACAGCACGTGATTAAAACCATGAGGTGTACAGAGTGGTCATCTCATACTTTGCATCCACAATACATTCACCCTCAAGATGCACTTTCCCATCCATGCTGTAGTCTTTATTTGATTAGTAGTTTTAGAGATATACATTGCTGCGCACATGACAACACTAGAAAGACCATAAAGAAGAAAAGGCTAAGAAAAGGAATGTGAGGTGAGAGAACAAGGTTGGAAAGTTGTGATGAAAACCGGCAGAAAGTGTTAATATTAGTTGCAAACGGTATTTTTTTTTTTTTCTTCTCTTACTGTGATGTTAGAAAGTTTCTCTTTCTGGTAATACAAAGCCCCATCCAGTTTAAAAGCTGTTTTGAGGGTACGAGTTCCTACTCTATCCAATCCACTGAACACAGGTGACAGAGCCCACACCAAAGCGACCAAAGTGGGTTTTAGACCCAGTTTGGCCCATCTCTAAATACTACCCATGAAAGAAAAAAACTACAAAGCAGGTCCAAAGCAAGCACCACGCAGCAGAGGGAACACATCTCATGCAGAGTATTAGGAAAAAGCTGAATACACTTGAAAAAAATTAAAGGAAAAACAGTCACAGATCAACAGATCTCCATGAGGAGCCCCTGCACAGAAAACTTCCAGTTAGTGAGTATCTTGGGCTAAAGCAAACACAACTCTTTACAACCTCAGGTCAAGGTTTCTCTGCAGAAAAGAGTTAGAGCATAGTCTTCATACAGTAAAAGTTATTTACACACGTTTGCAAATACTTTCAGAAGATAAAAGCACTCTCTCTGGTTTAGACTGAGTTCAGTTTAATCTGTATTACATTACACCGTTGTGTTCTGGCACCAAAATACCTATTCTGGAAGAGCAGTTTCCAGCAGCAAGGACAGTGCGAGGTAGCCTAGCACCTGAGAACGGGCAGAACTCGATGCTCCGGGTCTATACTAGATATTTCCCCCTTGAAATCTCTGCTGCCATTACTGCCCAGAAGTGTTAGAAATGGCTTGTGCTACATCAATACCAGCAAAGGAGATGATACCCCCTTGATTTATTAGCAATGGCACTGCCGATAGGCAACGGCAGGAAATTTCAGAGAAAAAAGACTAGAAAAAAAAGAGGGAAAGGCCAGTGAGATGATCCCCCCTTGATTTATTAGCAAATGGCACTGCCGATAGGCAACGGCAGGAAAAAAGCCTAGGAAAAAAAGAGGGAAAGGCCACTTCTTGCCACATGCACCTGCGTGCCCCAGGAACAAGCTGTACAGGCAGACTGCAATATATTTCGTCTGCCAGCCACAACCCTGCTCTGAGAGGAAGTGTGATGATGGCCAGGGCACTCGTTCCGTCCTTCCTTTCCCCCTCCATCCCTATCACATGCCACAGACTAACAGGGAGGGAACACCTTCGTTTTTCCCTACAAAGTATAAGTGGATGCTGCCTCTGGCCCTTTTGGAGGAGATGGAAAGGGAAGAAAAAAGCATCTCTGACTGGTTTCCCCCTTGCAGTGACATTACTGCTCTAGAGCAGGCTGTTCTGTGCACACTTGCAATACCAGCTTATTTGTGCTTTGCAACATGAGACTCGTTTGCTCTGTAGACAGAATTACACCTCTTTTGCAGCAACACCTGGAAATGGGTGTCTGCCTAGCAGAAAGGACTGTCTTCAGAAAGAAACCATGACCACTTCTATTAGGGCAGGATATTACGTGTGACATCGCATGAACTTCATTTCCACATCCTCTGAAGAAATGGATTTGGGAAGAGGTGGACTGGGTCAAAAATCATCCTGTTTTTTTAACAGTATTCTCCATTTTATGTCTCACCAGCAAGCACTATTAATTAAAACTTTCCAGCTATCAGCATGCTCACTCCATAATGAGGATCAGAATAACCCTGATTGCCAAAGAGAAGTTAATCAGTTTAAGCATTACTGCTTTTAAATCAGCTGGCTCAATTCCACCATCAGGAGACATATTTCATTCCACCTGCTCCATTTCTGCATTAGCAAACAGCATCACTGGGGGGATCCCCAGCTGCTCTTCTGAGAGCAAACCCCAGCAAAGTGTCCAGCTAGAAGGGAGGGCCGGAGCTTCAGGGAGCATCAGGCATTGCCATTGGTGGCATTTTTGCTTTTCAGGTTGGGATTTCTCCTTTTGCTTTTCTCAACTCAGTGCTGAACAAAACCCAGGAGGCAAACATCTACCAAGTCTTGGCCTCCGATTAAGCTATTAATTACATAAATTAGGGCATGCTCATGACTTTTAATTAAACAGATCCCCACTCGCCTCCTTGCGCTGCAGTGCTCAAATCTGCATCTCATTCGAGGTGCGTTGAAAAAACCCCAAGACTTACCGAATGTCGTCCCAGCCTCTGGCCTGCTCACCGACGAGACGATGACGAAGCCGAACCCCTCGTTTTCACCGCGGCGGATTTCCACATCGTAGGGCTGGACCACGGCACTGACGACACCGCTGCCCCCGCCACCACCACTGCCGATGCCACTGGTGCTGCCGCTGCCCGAGCTGACGGTGTTGAGGGAGTTCTGGCTGCCCTGCGGCGTTCGCTTCTCCTCTGTCAGCGAGGCCGGCTGGTTGCTGCTGTGGTGGGAAGAGGCTGGGGACGGGACTTCATTCTCTGCCTTCGGAACTGAGGAGTTAAAAAAAGACTGTCTGAGCAAGCTGCATCATTTAGTGGTTGAAAAGTGCCATCCACTGAGAAAAAGGTAAAAAAATTAAGCAAATCACCTGCTTTAATCTACAAATCATGGCCAGAGTGACCAAGGGCTCTGTCTCCTTTCAGATGTCACCACCAACAGCTCTGTTTGGTGACAGCACTGACCACACATGCTCATCCTCTCCAGTGTATCGTCATGCAGCCAAAGCCTTTCGAACTACAGCAGCAGTACGGTTAAGCCAGTGCAGTGCTGCGTGCTTGGATGCTCTGTGGCATTTTAAACCTGGATTACATTAGTTCAGAGGTGCCTCCTTTAGATATCACAACCCCACTTCATTTATATATGTGTAACCATACATATGTGCACAAGCCGCGAGGAGAGAGAGTAATATCAAATACCCATCACTCAACACCTGTGTACTTTTTAACTCAATGCTATCAGTTGGGTAGCACTGATTGCCCTTGATTAACATGATCTTAAGTAGTAATAACCACCCATACTAAAGCAGAACAACTTGCAAACCAAGCTTTTCTGGATGGAAGAACCAGCAACTATCATCTCTACAGTCTGGAACAGCTGGGGGGAAACCATTAGACATTATTAACATTAACATTAATATTAAACAAGTGTTTAACAGCAACAGAAGTTGGAAGTGGTATTAGTTTAAAATCTAATCAGCTACCACAAGGCTTGAAGAAATCTCAAAAAATTGCTTAGTTCACACTCTGCTCAAGTCAGGGCCAACTATACTAACTGTCAGTCCTGACAGATGTTTGTCTAATCTGCTGTTAAGTATCTCCCCAGGCAATCTATTGGTTGCAATATCTAACTTAAATCTTCCCTGCTGCAACATAAGGCTATTATTTCTAGTTCTATCTAGCAGGCATATGGAGAACATATTATTCCCTTCCTCTTTGCAACAGCCTCTTATAGTCTTGGGGAGTTTAACACCTCCTCCCCCTTCTCTGCTTTAGGCTAAACAATTCCAATTTGTACAATATTTCCTTGCAGACCATGTTTTCTGGAGCTCTCCTTATTCTCACTGGTCCTCTGGACTCCTTCCAGTTGGGCTCTCTCCAACTCAAACACGTCTTTCTTGAAGTGCTGGACCATATTGCAGCTAAGCCATCATCTGCTGGGAAATCAGGAGAGCTCCCCCCTGCCTACATCCCAGCACAGTGTTTTTCTTCACCTGAGCCAACCTCAGGGTAAAGCCTGTGGCCCACAATAGCTTCCACTTCTTGTTAGTCAGCCAGTTCTCCACAGTCCATTTGCGTGGCTGAGAGCTGCATATTGCACTTGTCTCTAATGGCTGCCTCCACTAATCAGGTCACTTCTCCAATTTGGTGAATCAAAATTAAGTTGAAGATCTTAAAAGCAACAACAAGAAAATGGATGCCAAACAAAATCTAAACCTGTAAACCCATGATCCAAAGAAAAAGAACTTTAAAATATTCTTGGGAAGGAGTACCTGTCTGCATTTATATACTCAAAGTACGTACTAAATATATAGTATTCTACCTATTAAAAATATGTAGAATTGAAGAAATCTCAAAAAATTGCTTAGTTCACACTCTGCTCAAGTCAGGGCCAACTATATAGGAGTATAAACTTTCCCCTATATGAATCTCAAGACATGGAGTACCCATTTAGGTGAACGATCTTCTTCTACTGGCATATAGATGAGAGGAGGAACAAGGGACCAAAATTCAGGAAGAGGCTTCTCTACAAAGTTATGCTGGAATTTAAAAGCCTGCAAATAAGGTGAAAGAAGGGCTCCTGAATAATTTATCCTACAGTAAGTGTCCACATTTGAAATGATTCAGAAATAGCTCGGTCTGGAGTAACAAGCCCCTGAATGAAATATCAAGGGTTTTTATCAAGATCTCTCATGAATTTGAATCTTTTATGATAATTTCCAGCCTGGAGGCTGTAAAACTGAACAGAAAATCTACACACAAAAACAATACCGAAATTCAGCTGCCCTTCCCCTTCCTCCCAAAGCTCATCTCCTAAAGCTTCTCTCACATTGGCAGCTCTTTGTAAGGAATGAGAGAGAGGCTACTAGAGGAGACATAACCCAACATTTAATCCGCAACGGGAAGAAGGAAAGAAATTACAAGTGAACATTTATTTAATATTGTGCAGAAGGAGCTCAGCCCAGGATAAGAATACAGAGCTATTTTAGAGGTACTGTAGTCTTAACTTCTACTTGTGGGCCTAATTTTCAACCTGAATGTTATTTTGATGCTCTTTAAGATTAAAGTACTTTACTGCCTATTTTTCTGCTGATGCCTAAACTTGAAAAGCTATATAATGTCTTTTCTTTTGAACAAGTGAGCTAAACTGAATCCCACACTCAAGCTCCCTAAAGGGACTCACAAGAAAAGGCAGCACCCCACTGTTACTCTCCAATATTACGCATAAGGTCACATGTCATTTAGAAAGCTCATGCTCGTGTCTTCATTTTCTTTGCTATCAGAACATTTTTGTGTCACTAATCTGGGTGCCACCAGGCAGTGTCACTTCCCTCTGCATCTTTGCCTTTCTGCCAGCTTCTTTTTTGTCCATTTAGACCACACACTTGTGCAGCGTGTGCACAACACCTAGCATAACGCAGCACACAGAAACCTCTCTGTTACAGCAAACGTGCACACCCTGCACTACCAGAACCAGTGACGCTTACAGTTTTGCATCCTGCAGTTAGTTGACTACATGGTACAACCTCAGTTGAAGTTTCTCCTGTGCCTGGGACATTAGCCATCACACACCAATGCCCTCACTGACTCTCTGCCCTTGCCTCCCCTCCTGTGGACTCTTCAGCCTCTTTTCCTTCACTCCCAGCTTAAGGGTGGCTATCAGGCAGCACACTTATTTGGGGAAGAAAACAGAAGACACAGGCAGTCAGGCACAGTGTCTGTTGCTGCGCGAGTCCACCTAAAAATGGTATGTTGCAACTGAACAGTTCCCCATTTTATCAGAAACCTTCAAGAAGACTGGAGAAGCCAACTGAGGTTGAGAGAGTCTTGACTGGAAACAAAATATTTGAAATGTATTTGATGAAGAACAAAAAAGACTAAAAATAGCCAAAAGAGGAAGAATAACACCACATCACCTGAGTTTTCCAGTATTACAAGGAGGAGCTTTTGTTCTTTAAACTGTTTGCTGAACAGATGGAGTCTGGCAAGAAAATCTACCCCTGCAGAGAGACACTGCAGCCTACCTGTGTAAACCACTTTGCGCCTGACGGTCAGATTGACATGACCTTGTTTGGCTGCCTGTTGCATAAGCTGGACGACAAGCTGGTGCGATTTCCCGACAACAGGCGTTCCATCCACGCAGATCAGTTCATCACCTGATCTCAGGCGGCCGTCAGCATCAGCAGCACCCAGCGGTACAATGTGACCGATGTAAATCTGATGAATTAGCACAAATAGGGGAGAGAGAGAGAGAGAGAGAGAAAGAAAGAAAGAAAGAAAGAAAGAAAGAAAGAAAGAAAGAAAGAAAGAGAGAGAGAGAGAGAGAGAGAGAAAGAAAGAAAGAAAGAAAGAAAGAAAAGGAAAAAAAAAAGGTGATAAATGAGAACTAGCTCAACAGACAGCTGGAAGCAAGGGGCACTGCTACTTAGACTCAGTTTAGTAGGGAAATTGTTGACAAATGTCTGCTGGTCAGGAACGTTGTTCCTGTGAAAGCAGCTCCATGTGAATACAGCCACATCGTGAAACTGTAATAAATTGACATCTTGTTTCTTTATGCAGTCCATTCACTCTAATGACAGATAGCCTTGGGAAATGTGTTCAACCAGACAGTGACCAGTGAGGAAGATGGTTAAAGGCACTGAGGGTCTTGTCAGGGAGGCTGAGATTGAGTTATCCTTTCAGTTGCCTCTAGGGTTTACAAGCTCCGTACCACTCGACTGTCCACTAACTCAGTCTTGGTTTATCTTCAGTGAGTTCTGTGGAGTTACTCTAACATGAGAGGAATTCACGGCCACTCTTTCCATAAATGAGCAAAATAATTTTGGTAGGGAAATATGTGGAAATTTATGCTACCACTATGTAGCTTTGACCTGAGCAGCACATGAAAGTCCACGCATTTTTAGCCGGACACCTTCCACAGGCACTGGATTTATGGTAAAGAAGTTAAGCAAATTCAGGGAGGGAATTGAGCAAATAGAAAACCTGACACTCTAAGATCAAAATACTTGCAAACCTGACCAGGACATCCTTTCCTCAGTGTCCAGGCAATTTCAGACCTATGTGTTTTCATTTGGGCTATCACAAAAACAGGGAACAGCAGGGGAAGCCAAACCCATTTCAGTTATGGGAGCTTTGGTTTGTTTTTTGGAGGGAGGGTGGGGAGGAATTGTGGGATGTAAATACATAGCCCACTAGTTATTTTAATAGAGATGTCACGGTGCAGTTCTGCACATCTGTACATGCTACTGCCATGATTCTGGAAGATGTTGCGAGTTAAAACAATACCACTTCTAGATGTACTCACAGGTTCTCCAGGCTCATTTCCACCTAGAATCCTAAATCCAAAACCGGTTTCCTTTCTCCATAGAAAGATATCCTGCTCTTGGTAATCTGGAACTGAAGGGAAAGAAGGAAAAATGTAATTTTTAATCAAAACCCCACACCTTTACACCCAAATCAGGACTACTCTGATGTACATGTAGAGGGATCTGCTGCACAATTTTACTCTTTAAATGAGGCAGTCTTGAATTTTTAGACATAATTAAGAACATTTATAGGTTTAAATACTAAAGGATTATTATTTAAATCACTACTAAAAATTACACGGTGGTTTCTACTTTCTAGGTGTCTAATTGTGACTTGCCATTTGTTTATCCCTACAATATTTCCTTCCATCAATATTAGCGTCATTACCCAGTGCAAGAGCCTCTTCCAAATCATCAATAAATAAATGTGTACAACAGAGAATCACTCTGCCAGAAACAATACAGCTGCCTCCTCTTTCATGGTAGACAAAAGAGCCACTTGTTACGACTTCTACCGTTTAATTAACTTTCTGAGGCATAGTTTGCTATCTGTCTACTCACACTGCTTTAAATAACTATGGGACAGATCCCCAGTCGGTGTAAAACAGAAGGGCTCCACTGAAAGCAAAGCAGCTGTCCTGACTCTCACTCGCTCGTGTACGGGCTCTGTAAAACCACTGAACAGACAAAACCAGCTGGAAACATAAAAAAGCTCAACCTTACCTACTCATTAGTATGGAATACCAGCAAGGTTTTTACAATGAATATTACATACAGTGAAGTACTAACCTTGAAGTGCGGTTGAACAGTAATGCTTTATATTAACTTATTCATGCTTGCTTTCATCCCTTTTTTAAAAATGCAAAATTAATTGCTAACATTAAATCATATCAGAAGACAACTTCAGGTTCATTTAATATTTATTGGTCAGTATCTGTAACATTGACTAATTTTGTAATGATCCCCTCCCAAAATTTATAATTAATGATAAAAAAAGCTGTTCCTTTACAAGTCAGCTGCCTAGATCTTTGGTAAAGAAATCGAAGTATATTGTTCAGGAATGTAATTCAAATAGGTGCATACTCAGATATGGGATGCTACACATTAATCTAGTTTTCTGTACCTATGAGCAGATAAACCAGTTGTTTTCCATTGACATCGGTGAGTGTCAGACTGGGCCCTAATTGCATTTTACACTGTCGGTGCCTGTTGCGCAAAGGTTTGGGTCTAGTTATCTGGTGCTTTTCAGTGTTGAGACTTTTGGCTAGCTCTGATGCTCTCTCTTCAGTGACTCAAGAGGTTTAAAATATAATAGGAATTTAAGACCTGGGAATACTAAAAATTAAAAGAACAGGTGAGTGCTAAGGCACAGATGTCTGCTTTGACATTTTCATTGAAACTGGTTTATAGCCACTGGTTTTAGATATTGTATTTTCACATTTTGATTACTTGCAGTTATAAACTAAGCTGAAGACCTGTGCACATTACCTTACTGAACTAGAGGCTAATTTTTGTCCAGATACAATTACAGAATAATCAGGTGATGAACACGCTGGAAGCCCGCGTGGTTCATCTGTTCAGGCGAGCTGGCTGAAGGCAGCTCACCACCATACGGACGTGCGGCACAACAGCAGAACTTATCAACGAATTAATTGGTGCTTGTCACTGCCTTCAGCGAGGGGGAGCGTGAAGAGCAGACACATTCGGAAGCGTCTCTCCAGCACTTCGCAGGCTTTTTTGGCAAAGGCTGGCCCCAACCAATTAATAACGCGTGTTGGATCTGTCAGAGGCAAAATGGCTTCTGCAGAGAGCTTCAGCGTGGGCCCGTTTCCTCGGCATCTCTCAACACCTTCCCATTTGTCAACTCTCCAGTCTCACAGAACGATGCCTTATGTTCCTGGTTCGGGTACCAGCTAGCCAATTAACGGCCGCTGGAGATAACGGCAAGCCGAGGTGTAACGGCGGTGTCAAACCAAAGCAACAAAAAAAGACAAGTCTATACCCAAAGAAGCAAGTTCATTCACGTAACGCTCCTTCCGCTGGAAGGATTACAGAGAGGTGAAACACAGATACAACAAACATACGGACAACACACATTTACACAGCGCGAGTACAAACTGAACAAAACTCCTTTTACCGCTTTTTGCGCCAATTCTGCAGTACGGTGATTCACTGGCACAGCCCAGAAAACCCCATCCACCTCTGTGCTTCCATACAGCTGAGGTGGGACCCCCTGAGGCTCTCCATACTGGAGAATTACTTTAGGTTCTCCATTATTTGGTAGCGCTTCAGAGGAGCCACTTCCCTTACTTAAAGGGAAAATTTCATGGTGGTGCTGAAACTCTGTTGAAAACCAATGAAAGATGGCCTCCAGGAGTCATTCATTGCACCTTTGCACCTTGACCTGATCTCAGGCGTGTCTGACTCTTTCTGAAAAAACGTGTACATAGCCCAAATGGGTAAAACTTGCCAGTCTGCTCATCCTGAATTAAACCAGACCATTTGGAGAGCGTCGCAAAAGTGGTAAGAAGAGTTCTGCTGGGGCTGTGAGGAGGAATGGAAGGAGAGGCGAGTGCCACAGCCCCGTCGACGAGCCACGCGGGCAAACTCATGAACGAAATGGGAACATGATGCCCCCCACCGCCGCCTACGAAATCCGCCGCTAGCCAGTACACAGTAAAGCAAGTACTTTGCACCTTCGTGGCTAACCTTGGCGTACGGCCCTGCCAGACTCCCTTGGTGATGAAGAGCCCCCCGCCACAGAGCAGCAATGACACCAGAACAAGACATCACAAGACACAGATACATTCTCGGCACAGTCTTACATTCTCCAAAACTCGTGGAACTGATTTCTCTCTCTCTCTCACCCTTGCTCAGTCCAGTTGCAGGCGAAGGTGACATAGCTGTAATATTAATTTTACAATTTTGCAAAGCTTAATGTATCTGCTTTCTTGTTAGTTCATTTAATTATTTTTGACTGTATGGATCATGTTAGGCTTTCATGCATAAATTGCTAAGGTTATCGCTACTATGGATTATGACATACTAACTTTCACATCTATTTGTACATGCCTGTGTACATGGGGATATACAATACACACACACATATGAATTTATACATTTTTGCACATGCATGCAGATATATTTGAAGAACTCTTTTTTCTCCTCAGAGGAAGAACCTCTGTGAGAACACCTTAAAAATACTTTTCTACAAAAAAATTTCCACCATCATGACACAGTTAGTTTTCCAAATGGAAATATCTTTTTCTAACGTTGAAAGAAATTCTAAATACATGGTGATGAACAATGAACACAGGGCTTAATTAGAGGACATTTTCATCAAACTTTCCTATACAAACTTTAACAATTATCTTACATGTTATATAAGAAAAAATTCTGCCCAGTGTGATATCAGTTTCAACAAAAGATGGATTCAAAAATAATCAGTATGAGTTTGCTTTAGTCACTAGCTCATTTGAGGCAGCAGCACTTTCAATGACTCATAGCTTGGCAAAGTACAAGAGTTTTAAGGCCCAGATTCAGCAAAGTATATAAGGACAAATCTGAAACCGAGTGAATAGTCTCACTGAAGCTGACGGAGAGTTTCAGTGTTGAAAAGTCCTGTGATTTAGCCATAAATCTCATGAGATTCCGTATTTGCAGGAAAGCCCTGTTTTCTAAACTATCCCACTGCAGGAGAATTCCAGTTTTGCTGTCTTTTCCTTTTAATCAACCCTTCTGGTGGCACAGAAAGCTTTCAAAAGATGGCTTCAGCATGTTCTCAACAAGATGACCAAGTTCTGCCACTGAGGTCTGGGGAAGGCGCGATGCCTCGACTGAGCCATGGACCGGGCTGGTGCCAGACAAACACCAGCAAAGTCTGCCCACGACCCAGCTCCGTGACAGCTCAGCAGCCTCTGCTGCTCACGCAATGTGCTGCAAGTACTACCGTCTTTTTTAGCAAGACATTCTCTAAGGGCATGGACACATCTGTGTGCCCAAGTGTATAACTGTAACTGTTTGTCTCCTATTAATATAATAAAAGGACATAACCCTACCAAGGGGCTTTTACGAACTATCATCTTTAAAGTCAGTCTGATCAGAAGGCGGCTGCAATTTCCTGAGAGTGTTTTTCTTTTCTATTTTAGGGAGAAAGTATCTAATGTTTGGTATCATTGTGCAAATATTTTTAATTCTATGTAATTGCTGGTGAGTGAACGCTACACACTGGGGTCAAGACTTGTTTGTATTATTTCAATTAGATTTGGGGAGAGAAAATCCTACCAAATAAATTGTATGCCTGAAAATAAAATTCAAATATTAATGATAACTTAGAATATTTTAAAAGCTTTAAAAATTATCTATCATGTTCTGCTTTACTTTTAATTAAATGCTTAAGCCCTTCAAAGGGATTCATTAACACATCTGCAATTCAGATTAATTCATTTTGTCACTGCTGTTTTGACAGATGGCCATATGTAGGATATGGTATTTTGCAAAGCAATCAGGCCACATGAGAAAAATTTGACAACAGATTGCATTAATCTTTAAGGAAGTTTAATAATACATTGAAAAATAAAAAGCATATTATAAAAATATATTTTCAATAAAACAGTGCGAGATTTCAGAATTGCGGTTCTCTGATAAACCATTCAATTGCTGTTTCTCTCACCGAGTGCTCTTCACATATGTCATCCCTGGATCTTGGAACCGCTTCAGTGTTTAAACATTAAGGGTTTGTCCTTCTCTCTGATTCATGTACACGACTCCCACTAGCAGCTCCTTTTTACCCGTAAAAAGGAGCTCAGGCAGCTAAAACTTAGCACCAGGAAAGAGTGCATTTGTTATCGCCACCAGATGATCTGTTTTCAGATTTACTCAACCTAAAGCCGGCTATTCTCAAAAATCTTAATCCAGCAAAGAATTGTGACTCTGGGCCAGATTGCACCAGAGCGTTTGAGCTCAGCCCTAGCCTTAAAGCATCCAAGTCCCTTTGGGTTTACAGCTTGAAAATAAGCTTCCTTGGACTGCAGCCCAAGCACTCAGCACCTTGCAGGCCAGATCCCCTCACCCAGGGGAGCTGCATGTGAAGGAACTTTAGCCAATATTTGTTGAATAAAGTTGCAGTTCTCATCTGCTGCCACTCAACCAGAGTCCAGACACAGTTATGGAGCCATTGCTTAGCTTTGAGTTAGTAATTCTAGCTTAATTTTTCTTCTTTTTTTTTTTTTTTCTTCCCCTAAACAGGCAACGTCTGTGGCTCTCCTCCGCAGAATCTGAGTACTTCCTGATATTAAGACGCATTGGGTAAATCAAAATATACATGCTTACACAAAATTATGGGTTATCTGGTGCTTTTGAACCCAATTCTGCTCTACCAATGGCTTCAGTGAGACAAGTCACATAAGTCAAATATAATCCTTTTTTATGAAATACTGATTCAAAGAATACCCAAAGAAAGGAAGAACACATTTTACCAATTCTGAAAAATTAAAATGTTGCCTGTGTGCTTTCCATGTCTTCATTATTATTATTAATGTTAGTAACAGTGGGATGCACTCCCAGTGAAAAGACAGTAGGTGGTCATTATAGATTCAGTACTTCTTAGAAACATCCTGGAGACAATGTATTCATATATTGAATGAAACCTCTTGATGTTATTATTTTTAGATTTAAAAAAAATTCTGTCTGGGCTGGGGCTAACGAATCCATCTTTTGGTGTCAACTGCACTTGAAAAATTGCACTATGTTCTCTTTATACTCAACAATTTCACGAATGGGACGGAATAAAACACTGAAGATAATCTAATTCTGTCTTTTTAAACTTCATCATATACTTCAGCACAAAGGGTTGTTGCTGGTTTTCAGTCCACTTGTCGGGGATTCAACACCCTGCCTCTCAAAAGAACATTTTATAATCCTTTTCAGGTTTATTAAAATTTAATGCCATTAATCAACGGAGAGCAAGCCCTGGACTGGGCAGCAGGAAGAGCTGGGAGAGCTGAGCTGGGGCTCCTCAGGCAGCGGGGGCTCCTAGGACCCACCAAAAGCCCCAGTTACAGGATGCATCAGCCAATCTCAGCCCTGGCACTAGGGTGGCATCCTCCTGCTGTACATCAGATATGCATTCAGTTCTGCTCATGTCTTCATCAGAAGGACGCAGAGAGTCTCACACCTAGCACCCAAAGCTATGGATGTCATGGGAGAGGAGATGCTAACCTCAGTCCCAAAGCCAAAGGTAATGTGCTCAAGCAAAGAAGAAAGCAGTGATATGACTGTATCACCGCCAGCCAAAGGAGGCACTGGAGTTAAACTGAACTGCAGCTGGGTAAAAACATGAAGAAAAGCACATGTGGAGCAGACAGACAGTGAAACTGGAGGCCCAGGGAACGGTTTCTCCCATCCTGCAGTCTGTGGTGCTCCATGTCAGCAAAGCTCCCTACAAGTGGTCCAAGAGCCACACATCTGGTCTGTGGGCAACACTGGGAAGTGAGTCTCAAAGGGATGGTTCACATTCATAACAGAGCAGCCACCAATTGCCCACTTTTCATGCAGACCAAACACAGGGAAAGAAACATGGTGGCTCACCCCAAGCTCCCAGGGCAGAAGAGGCACCAGGTTTCAGCTGTGAACCACAGTCTCCATTCATGAGACTGGGGAGAGGGATGAAAGGTGAGGGCTTGGTGAGGGAAGGAGCAAGAGCTGACCACTGACCTCTAAATAAAACTACCAGTCACACTTTGGGATCAGACCGTGACAGGAGACAGAGCACGTCCAACTGCCTTCTTCACTTAAGACTGTATCTTTCCTGTTTTTCTTCACCTTTCATTAGGCACAGCAAAGCCATGTCACTAGGGAAGACTGAAGGTAATCCCCAGGGAATGTGTTTAACTCCAGCTTAGGGTTGGAAATTCATAGGCTCTTGGACACTTCTAGTGGCACATGCTTACAAGAAGACATGACCGTATCACACTTCTGCCATTCTCCAAAACCCCTCTATCTATGAAACCAAGAAATCTCTGAAAACATCTTCCTGGGGAGGAAATGGCAATGGGACTAAACGGTGGTAGAAAAGCACTGATGTTCAAACAGGTAGGTCTCATCTGGTAGAAGAGGCAGGAGATGAGGACTGAAGCAATAGAAGAGGATCAACCCCACTACAGAGATGCTGGACCATGGAAAGGTGAGACGGGGAAGCTGAAGGGGCGTAGCAGATCCCAGTCTAGCAAAAGGCTCAGAGAGGATTGTGGCACAAGGAGAGATGGGGTGTGGGAAATCAGCAGGTGAAGAGACAGTGAAAAGGCTTCTGGAAGGGCTCTACTCACAGACAAGGATAAAACCTCTACAAGATACCTGCAGCCATCGAGGAAAGAGGGAGGATTTAGCACATGGTGTTGGAGGTGGACACAGAAGGGCAACTGCCTGCCTGTGCACTTCAAGATTTCTCCAGCTCAGCCTCAGGTTTTATCGGGAAAGACAGACAGGAGTTAGGCCTGCTAAGCTGATACTAATGACTAATTAGTATGAGTTAAACAGTTAATTAGAATTAGCTAAGTAGCTGCAGGCAGTCAGAAGCAATGCCAACACAAGTGCCTATGGGAACCACGTGAGCTGAGCAAGGGTGATGCCAGCGCCATGGGACGGCCTCAGCCTTGTCCATCCCGGCAGGGGAAGGAGGAGCTCTGCCCGCAGCTCTGCAGGGCTGAAGCGTCACCGTCCCTCAGCTCTTGCCCCTTTTTCCTATTTCAACGAGATGCACGTGCAAGTTCCATCACGGCACTTCTCCGTAGACCAGCATGACCTGGCCCAAGAGCCCGCAGGGTCAGTACGCCTAATCCCCGGGAGGGGAAGGAAGCAGCACACAGAAGCTGAGACACCTACAAACTGCATTGCTGAGACATTCAATCCGAAGAGATGCATCTTCAGCCAAGAAACTGTGACTCATGATTTAATTTTTCCAGGACATAAGATTTCAAAGTGATTCATTTGGTCAGAAAAAAAACAGTTCTACCATTTTTCGTTCTGGGGTAACATTCATTTCATACTGGTTTTACCAATTTCCAGTTAGCACAATAAAATCAAGCTCCAGGTGATACTCTTACAGCACCAAGACTTTAAAGCTCCCTTTTCTGTAACTAAAGTAACTATTGCTTTGAAAATGAACCTAATACTCTAACTCTTTCTTTAAGAAGCTTTTACAGATTTGATCATCTTCAGCAGTGCAATTAAAGCAAAGCCAGCGTGTTTATTTTGTTTGCAGAGAAGAAACTGATTGAAACCATATTTATAGTCTTGGAGCAGTTAAAGCCCTGCTGAACTATTAGCCAAGTGTGCAGACTATTAATTGCCATAAAAGCAACTTACAATATGCATTTGATATCTGTATTGTTAAAGTGTCCACTCTGGTCAAAGTAAAATGGCTCAGCTGGATTTTCTCCTCCCCAGGGTGAGGCTGGAAAGCATCTGGTACGAATTTCAGCAAACTAAATACTTCCCCTCCTTACTGAAATTCCTATGCATATCAGACAACGAGTCTTAACCTCAAAAAGGAGTTTAGGATCTGGATAACAAACTTGGAAATTCTCCCTCAGCCTAATTTAAAAGCAAAATAAAAAAATAGGGGGAAAGATGGTCTTTAATTTTAAAGGGATTTTTCGTAGTTAGCTTCGGTCTAAGTGCCCTTTCCTAGAGATGATCTAAATTCATTCCTCATCAGAGAGGAAGCTGCACCTCTATCAAGTAGATATCATTGACAGATACCAAATTAACAAACTGAAGCCTTATATTTTCAACATAAACCTAAAAGATTCAGTTCTTCACAAAGAAAATATACAGAGAGCAGCTGCCAGAGCCGTAGCCTTAGCAACCACACCTGCTTCATACTCACGTCGGCTTTCATACATGCTCCTGGACTGGGCCCAGATTTTGAATGGATCTGGCTTTTTCTGCCCAGAACTGTCCGGTTGATCCGCAGCCGGCGGCTCCGCGGCAGTGTAGTCCGGCAGCACCTGTGTGCTGTGAACGGGGGAAGCGGTGTGCCCGCTGCGGTGGCTGGAGACGCTATGCTGAGAACTGTTTTGGCTGTCTTTCCTTTCAAGTGGTTGCTGTAAGGAAGAAAGCGAGTGGAAGGAGAGAGAACAGACGGTTATTGGTCTTTGAGTGGGTGTTTTCCATCAATTTTTCTCCCTTCTTTGATCAGGGTTTCTGCATGCACATAAGTAAATATATAAATCACAGTTTTGCTGCCACCAGTTAATGCTGGGTACAGTTAAATTCCCCGATGACAGATTTTGATAGGCAGACTGACAGAAAGAGATATGCAAAACAAAGTCATTTATCATAAAAAAAAAATGCAGTTCTCCATCTCACATATAAAACAAATCTAAATCTCATTATAGGTTACTAGTTTCAGTGCACTTATTTTTTCCACATTAAGGCAGGAAAACTCAACAACCTTCTACTCAGATAACATTAGGGTCTAACTTGAGCCTGCAAGAAAAAGGAAAAACTACCAAATTTCACTGTGAAAACGTAAACACTCCCTCTGAAACAGATTCAAGCACAGCCCTTACTATGAAAGATCACTTTTCCTCTGCAGCTCTTGCAACCCCCACATCACAAGTGGGTGGACAACAGAGTACCACTTTCACGTCTCTGCTTCCCAGAGCATCCACAGGATTACAGCAGACCTTCACAAATGTGAAAACGTCTATCTGCAGTTTGATTTCCTTGTTTTAATTCAGCATATTAAAACAAGAAAAAATACATCCGCCTAAATTCAAAAGCAGTACGCCAAAAGCTCTGTCTGCTCAATAGTTAGCAAAGCAGGGTACATAATTCTTAACTCAAATTCACAACGGTGTGCTCAAATGAAGCACAAGTCACATTTGCATTGCCAGGATTTGTACTACTCAATATGCAGCAAAATCCTCCCTCAACAAGAGCTCCCCAAACTGTGCAGCAAATGCTTTTCAGTGCTCTTTTGAGATGACCTTGGGTTGGCATCAAGGTCGAGTCCAATCTCCCACCTGCTCCGGCACAGGGAACTGGCACGCTCCCGGGGCTGCTGTGACGCAGAGGGCGGCCGGGAAAATAGCATCCTACGGGTTGTTTTTACAACATCTACAATTTCCTGGCTAAAAGGGCTCAGCCGCTCGTACCAAGAAGCCTCAGACAAAAATGTAAAGCCTCCTGCTGGCAGGGGGTACCCGAAAACATTGCAACAGGAGTCTCTGCTTCCAGGGACTTCTCCATAGAAAACCAAGCAGGGCTTGGGAGAAAAGTCAGCAGCAAACACAGAGCAGATCAGCACGGGGGGCTGAAGTGCACACAGGTCTGGGGACCCCCTCCTCTACTCTGAACGCGAAACCCCAGGAGGCCAATGCTCCATCATAGCAGGGCTGAATTAATTACAGAGGAGAAAGTCACCATACAAAAGTGCCCCCTTTTTGAGTCTTCACAATAATTTAAGTTGCACATATTTTTAGGTTTACACCGAGAAAAAAACCAGCTCCAACAGCCCAAAAGACTTTGACCTCGCAGCCTTACATTCGAGTTGTTGATCCACTACCATCATTTTTTTAAATATCTCGATCAACTAGAATGTGAAATTGCCTTTGTCCTTTAAAGCAATTTTGAACAAAGCATACCTGCTGTGATTACTCATCTGCAGACTGTCAAATACAAATATCTGAACCAATTTCAAACATTTTTAGCTTTTTAAGTAGTAAAAGAAGCTAATTCACATGCAGCCCTTCAGTTTTTAAATGAAGCAGTTTTAAAACATCTATGCTGTGGATAATCACTTTTTAGGTTTACACCGAGAAAAAAACCAGCTCCAACAGCCCAAAAGACTTTGACCTCGCAGCCTTACATTCGAGTTGTTGATCCACTACCATCATTTTTTTAAATATCATCATCAACTAGAATGTGAAATTGCCTTTGTCCTTTAAAGCAATTTTGAACAAAGCATACCTGTGATTACTCATCTGCAGACTGTCAAATACAAATATCTGAACCAATTTCAAACATTTTTAGCTTTTTAAGTAGTAAAAGAAGCTAATTCACATGCAGCCCTTCAGTTTTTAAATGAAGCAGTTTTAAAACATCTATGCTGTGGATAATCACTCCTTTGTAACTTAAAAATAAAAAAAAAAAGAAAAACACTTTACAACTCTCAGTCCACCCATCTGGATTGTTTTGTTTGTTTGGCCAAACTACTAAAATAACTACAAGCATCCTGTGAAACTTCAGGCCAATTTCACTGGAAATAGCTGGTTTACAGAAGTTGGAGTACAGGGACTAAAGTGTGAAGCTTTATTCAGCCCTCGGGGAAATGTTGAGAACTCTCTGAAAACTTTCTGATTTAAAAAGAAACAAAGTTTGAACTTTAAAAAGTGCTCTCACTTTATGATATGAAAGGTCTAAATATTGAACAAACTATGAATTCTGTTTCATATTTGGGTTGCAAATGGAAGTGTCAGCGTATCTCAAGCAAACCCACCCCTAATTAAACTAGAGTTGCAATTGCAAATACACAGACATTTTGCAAGAAATAGGGGAAAACTTCTTCAGAGGGATAGTTGTTTTTCCAAACAATAACTCCTTTAAAAAGCCTGAAACATCTCTACTTAGGAGTTGAAGATGGGGGCAGACAAAGGGGAACACAATCATGGAAAACATGAATACATGTAATTAAATTAATTCAAAACAATATTAATTGACTTTCACATCACCAGATGAGGCTAAAAAGGTTTGAGGCCAAACTTTTACACAAACTTTTAGCAGCTTCAGCACATCAGCAGCAGCAGGACTTGCAGGGGTCTGACCGCCCTGCAATGAGGACTGCCCAGATGAAGAAGTTTGTGCCTTGGTGCAAAGGTGGAGCTTTCCCAAGAGATGTGAGCTGATGATATGCCAATGAAAGGATGGCTTCTCTATCTCCTGCCTCATCCCTAGCTTTGGGGCCGATTCTCCTGGGTCCGGGTCTGACTGCCCGGCTCACTCAGCTCACACACAGGCAGGAAAGCAGCTAAATGAGATGAGCACGGGACTGTTTGGTGACAGACTGCTGCAGAGCGGGCGGCTCAGACCTCACCCCGAGATGCTGATCATGTTTTTTCAGTGCAAAGTAAAAGAGATCAGCTGAATCATGTTGACTTCTGACAAGAGCTACAAGAGCATGGGGCACTGAACTACCCAAGTCAGCAAGAGCACCCCTGACCCTCCAGAGTCTATGGTCTTCTCCAGAGCTGTGGATAAGCATAAATAGCTTGCCAGAAAGACTCTTGACCAAAAGCGGCTAGAAATCAAGACTACGATGACTACCTGGAGTCCATTTAGGCAGACTGCACGCTTAAATACAGGTGATGGAAAAAACAATCACCTTGGTACTGTATTACAGCCATGACAAAACAAATACATGGAAAGCTGGAGCTTCTCGTGCCCTACCCGAGCCCCAGGTCTGAGATGCAGGGCCTGTGCCAGCTTCCCTATGCCCTTGCTGAAACTTCGCAGTGCTTATCCTGCAAAACGTAAGATGAAGAAAACGTACTATTGGGAAGAAAGTCTCTTCTAGCTGCCCTTTCCCCACTGGCTGAGGTTAACAGGAACGTCAGTGTGGCTCAGATTTCCGAGTGCAGCTGTGGGGGCAATTGCTGCAGAAGAGGGGGCAGCAGCGGTCAGGGTTTGGGCATACATCAGCCTTCCAGGATTTCTTCTGTCCACTGTGCAACCCCATTTTCAGCCACAGGCACTCCATTTGCCGAACTGAAAGGCAGCTTTTCCCTCAGCAGAGAGGTTGAGTGAGCCCACGCTGAGCACTACATCGTCCTCTGATTACAGGGAGGGAAGAAAACAGCAAAGGCGATGTGAGCCAGGGAGCTTGAAGCTGTCATGCTTCAAAAGGAGGCAGAAGGAAAACTGCTTACAAAAGTCTCCAAGTGCCTGGAAAATGCTACAGATACCCACATAGCAGAGACCAGTTTGTCATTCATGCTAAATGAAAGAGCAATTGAATGTTACTTTGTCCAGTGACTGCTAAAACAACCGAGGCCCATGACACGGCTGAGAGGTGGCTGCAGGCAGAGATGGGACACTAATTGTTAGCAGCAGTTGTGTATGTCTGTGTCAGGCAGAGAGAAACCCGCAGCAGAAGAGGCGATGGTGGCAGGGAGCGTGTCCCATGGCACAAACGGACACCAAAGCTTTTTGGCACAGGATTCTCCAGGCATTAAACTGCAAGAGAGAAGAGTTGCTGTGGTTTCCTCCCACTGCATTTCAAGGTGGGGGGAAAAAAATGGTCTCTGAATGAAGAGGGATGTGTTGTACAAACATTCATGCTATGGAACCTACCTCTCCTCCTGACAAAAACAGGACATCAGCAGAGCCCCAAGTCCTGCCTATCCACCCGAAATACACGGCAAGCCTCTTGTCAGGGACAGGCTGTGCATAGGAATTGCATTTCTGGCCACAATTCAGCTATGCTGACAATGTATTTATTTACACCCAAAAGAAAAATTAGATTTTTGGAAGAGCTTAGCACTTTCTTCGCCTTGCAGTGATCCTGTCTTCTGATAATCTAGCTGCAGATTTTGTGCTCTAGAGCGTTTTGGAAAAGCTGGTCCTGGCAGAGACAGCAAACTGAGCTGGAAATGGGAATCTTTGCCCCCTTGTGGAGTATTTTGATGCAAGCAACATGGGAAAAAAAAAAGAAGAAAAAAAAATGTTTGTTTTCATCCATGTTATACCAGGATAATTGCAGGGGAAATTGCTATACTAGAGAACTTGCACACTGAAAATGTATATCCCCAGACGGTCAATACAAAAATATTATCCATTTTCATCTAAAGAAGAATCAATGGGAAACTGAAAACAAACAAGCAGCGCTGCTGTGAGCATATCCTTGGTGGGGAGAAAGGGGGAAGAAAGGACTTAGAAGTGCCCGGTCTCATGTATGGCTGTAAACTTTTTTTTTTTTACTAATTTGGCCCGTCCACCGAGGTTGAAAAACTCTCCCTAAAAACTGAGAAAAAGAGCAAAGCTCATCAGAAGATATACACAGGCTGAAAAATACAGCTCAGGAAAACTGAGCTCAAGGCAGAAAAATATTCCCAGACGGTGTCACAGCCCCAGCACTAACAAACCTCTCCAAGGGGCTGAAACACCTCCTCCCAGCCGGGAGGTATCCAACAGCCCGAAGTCGGCCTTTCAGGAATACGGGATTGGGGCTGATAGTTAAAAATAGGGCTTGTTTGAGAAAGAGACAGCTGTTGGCAGGAGTGTGTCCGGGCTCTGGGAAACGATAGGAGCTATCAAGAGAGGGCTCGTCACTGCACTGAGGGAAGCAGAAGAGGATGGAGACCTGAGCTCGTGTTTTCCCCGATGCAGCAGAAGAAACAAAGAACGAGCACAAGTTAAGATTGGGCCAACTGCTCCTGTCCTGGATGTACACTGTCCTACAGCTACACTGTAGCTAATTTATTAATCAAGGAATGCTGGAAAACATTCCCTCTGCGTCAGGCAAAGGGACCGGGGGAAACGAGCAGCGTGTTCAACCCAAGCCCCGTAGCCAGCCGTGCAGCGCTGGGGACAGCCCGCGGGCGCACAGCTCAGCCGGCAGCACCCACATTCACCTAATGGCTGCAAGTGCAGCAAACCATCCCTGGGAAATGCCGGGGCAGGGCGCAGCGAGACGGCATCCCAGCCGGGGAGCACGCCAGCGGGGCAGGCCTGGCTCTCCCTGGCCAGGACAAGAGCAAGTGGGAGTCTTCATGGCCAAGAAGGCCAGGCTCCCCTCGCCCCGCAGCCGAGCACCAGCCCTGCAACTAAACCGAGGAAGGAAGGTGTTAAGCAATACCGCTGCTTTTATGCTTTTGTCCATCGCCTTGACCACACAAGCTCTGGTGTTGGTGCAAATCCATCCCAGACGGCCCTGAGGACAGTTTCCTCTTCTGCATACGGGTGCCCCAAGGCGCTTTGCTCCAGGTTTCTGCGCTCAACCCGTGCATGTCACCGATGCCTGGGAATGAAGGAGCGGCTGTGCCGGCTCCGACACACTCTGCTCTGCCCCTCCAAGGAGCGGTCAGTCATTAAAGCTGCCGCACAATGCGGCAGTGTAAAACATCGCTGCTAATTGCCAATGCAAATGATCCGGTGTGCAGGCAGGGGGAACAGGAGGCTCTGCTTTTTGTGAATCCTGCGCTTTAGAGGCAACAGCACCGCCTAGGGCTGTAGTAAAAATTACTGGAGGGACCCTAAAGCAAGGTGAGAGGGGTTTGCGAGAGGCACGTGAGGGAATGGGACTGCTTTCCCAGGGCTGACTGGCTCCTCAAGGCAAATAGTAGGGAGAAATCTGCTGTTGCAAGGCTACACCTGTTTGCAAGCAGTCTCTTTGTTCACCGAGGCAGGATTATCCCGACATGGATTTAGATGCTGCTCAGATTTTCACGGTGCATCACTGCCGACCAGAGAGGTGTCTGACATGGCAGGATCCCCCTTTACCTGATGCCGAATGCGTGTGTGGCGAAGCGGGAGCCTCCACATGGGAGCCTCCACGCTTTGAACAGACTGAGACTCATTGATCGGGGCTGGTTTAATGACAGGAGTCGGAGTCCGGATCGAGAGCAGCCACTCCTGCTCCGACTGGGGAAAAAAGTGCAGGCAGAGAAATGAAACGTGCCAGACGCGTACGTATTTTACACACTTGCTTCTGTTTTACCGAAGGCTGAAATAATCTCAGCGTATGACAGAAGTGAGCGTGCAGGGTCTGACATGCCTGTGATCTGCGAGGGAGCACACCCCGCACTTCTGCCTCTCAACATTAACGTGAGCTGACAATGGTAGAGGCCTGGGCTCACGTGACTTTAATCAGCACTGCCCTAAGCCATCAGAATCACATTAATTATTTCAGGGCTTTCTTTTTGGATGAACAGAGAACTCGTATTGAAAGCAGGACCCTTCTGCCCAGCCCCTTCATAAACCTCCTGCCCAGGTTGGCAGCGAGGTGGGCTGCACCCCGCTGCAGTTTTTGGCACCCATCGGGGACTGCCGGTGAAGTTTCACACCGTCTTACAACACGGCAAAGACCTCACTCGCTCTGCTTCCCCAAAGCTACTGGGAGATAAATCTCTTTTCCCCCCTCCCTCTCAACAGATAACTGTTAACTTTCAGGCTTTAAGTATTGAATTTCCTTTAAAAATAAAAGACTTTTTTGTTGTTGCATAGTACATTAATTTCTTCCACAATATCATGCACAGAGCTTTAACGATACTTCAGATCACGGCTTCCATGCTATTAGCTAACATGTCATCCAGGTAACAGCTTTACATGGAAACAGGATCAAGAAGGGACAAGAAAATACTGTTCCGTTGTTTGGGTTTTTTTAAATACGGAATCTCACACCTGCAGCACAATCCTGCCCAGTATGAAAATGCCTCCAGAGCAAGCACTCGGACAGCTAACGGTATTAACTCTGTACAGCTAACTGTATTCCCCGGGAACTGTAATCATGCTCCGTTCATGCTTTGTCTCTCTCAACAAGGTGCATGCTTTCCCATTCTCTTAATAATTCAGCCGAGGGTACTCGAGAAAACTCAGGGAGTAAATGGAAAAGCTTGGTGCCTATGAGCACCCGACAGGAATTGATATCTGGCAAGAAGGTGGAGCCTCCCATCTTTCCAAAAGGAAACAATAGCTTTTTTTTTTGGTAAGTTAAACGACAGAGAAGCTCATCTGTCAGGGAAGAGGATCTGTAAACTTGAGGCTTTATTTGCAAATAAGTCCCCCTTCCGTACTGCATTCCTCTTTCATCTCCCCATGCAGCAGGAGCTGTGCAAGGTAATCATGGTTGCAACAGAAAGACAACTTAAAACAATCAAGACCCACAAAGAAAACAAACCGAACTCATGCCTTTCTCCTTCAAAGCAGACAAACAGACAAAAATAGTAGCTGAAAAGTGCTTACCGACTTTGGGCTCTTCTTTGGGACCGGCAGTCCTGAAAAATGGCAACAAGGGAAAAATAAACATTAGCATCTAAACGTTACCTTCCCTTAAAGAAAAATCCTTAGGTGTATCATCCGAATGTAGCCATCTGCAGAGTTATGTCAGCTTTCGCTCTCGCATCGGAGTTACCAGTCTGTTCATATCGAATCAAAGCACAGGGAGAGGGAGAGTGAGCGAGAGACGGGAGCGGGGAAAAGGGAGCGGGGGGGAGAGCTCTATCTGCATTAGCTATGCTGACTTGTGCTGCAGCAGCCGGGAGGCTGGGAGAGAAACCCACAGCCCTCAGCGGCTGCCGAAACCCAGCGCTCGGGCAGAATCTCAAATGCTCCCCTGGATTACGGGAGACTTAGCTTACAATTAAGCCGAGGCTATTTCCTTTTGACGTGATCGGCTCAGCGATTTTATCAGACCAATCGCGGCGGCGCAGGGGAAACAGGTTGATTTTTTAAAAAGTATTTCTCTAGAAATCGATTTTTGAAAGGAAAACGTGCGTCGGCTTGAGCCGGGAGGCACAGGCTGGGCAAAGGAAAACAAAAGCATGCGGAGGAATAAGCTTTTATCCCTAAAAACGTGAACGTTACTGAGAAAACACGCGTTTTCCTTCCTGTCCACCGTAAGTATAAATCGTTGAAGCCAGAGATTTTATCTGTTAGTTACAATTTCAGAGAGCTGAGGCTTGAAAACAGCACTGCAAATGTCCTGACCCTTGGGGGGGATGCTAGGGAGCGTGGAGAAGGGGGGCTTACACAGGTTGCAGTCAATGCAAAGGAAGAAACAACTGGGAGGGCACAAGAGAAGGTTTTTTCAAGGACAACTTTGCATTTTGGAGCAGCCTCTTACTCGCTCTGTGATGAGCAAGACAACCCAAGTGGGATTTCTATCGACTACTTCTGCATATAGCTCAATTCCCAGCAGCAAAGGAGACATTTGGCCGAGGGATTTACCTACAACGCAGGAAAAACTCTTTCCTGGGCATTTTGCAAATCACCTTCCTTTTCCTCCACTGCTGGAGGACAGGGAACTCTCCATTTTTTGCTCTGTGTGGCACTCCAGGAAACAAACATAAACCAAAAGAGAAGATTACATTCCACATTAAGTGCTCAGTAATTCAGATGTTTGAAATCTGCTTTTGTCTTTAGGATGTGATTTATGTGGCATTTATGCCGCATTATGTTTTCTACTTTATGCATTTCGTTCATGCTAAAACCCATGCCCTCGTCCAACTTTTACACAGAGAATAAAATAAGTGATGCAAGTGCATTACAAATCTCTCCAGGAAGAAGCTCATTTTAAGGTAATTTGGGAGATGTTAGTTCTGAATAGGGAAGATGCACAATTAAAAATGATGAACGGAGCTCACTTCGCTGCCTGCTCACAGACTGGGATGCAAACTGTAATGAGTATTTTAAACGAAATATTTTCAGCTTTTGAGGAATATCTGTGCTCTGCATGTCACTGATGCATTCCCAGCCAATAGCTGATACCCCTCCAGGCACTGATTGATCAAGGGACAATGAAACATCAAAACTGTTTGAACTAAACAATCAGGACCACAGCTTCATTTCTGCTGGCGGTGACTGTGTTTGTGTAACACACTTAAAGAAGAAAGCACTAATAATGTTCATGGCAAGTCACATTTTTAACAGGCATCATTTATCACAGAGATAAACACACAGATAGAGATTCTCCCTCTCTCTCTCTCCCCTTCCACATGCATGCACACACGTTTACTCTCCCTTTCCAAGAGATGCTCTTTCCTATTAAATCAATAGGTAGAACAGATCCCCATGCACGCACGCACCCTTAACAGACCAACATGAGCCAGAAAAGGTATTACAGCGATTTAAACGTTCCCTGCAAAAAATAAAGCGGAGATGCAGCTGGGCTGTTGGTTCAAATTGTACCAGAATTCAGTTTATTGCATCACAAGCATTAAATGTTAAAATTTACTAAGTATGAACTACTGAACAAACCTTTCCTTCAAAGTTCGGTATTTACTTTGGCTGTTACAATCCAAAAGAGATGGAAAACTGTTGAAAAATAATGGAAAACACATCAAGGACATTGTTTGGCGGCTCCTTCAGAGGCCGATGAATCTTACAGTGTCACTGCTCTGTGCCAGGCTTTGCTGCAGAACAAGCAGTAATCGACTTTTTACCAAAGTAAGTGACTGCAGAACACGTTAACAAATGTTGGTAGTTTTTCACGGGACAAGCTTATAGTCAGGGGAATAACCTGCCTGTACATTTCCCTGTAAAAATGTTATTTATTCACCTAATTAGGGTCTCATTTTAAAACCCCAGTTTTTGACGCAACAGGCCAAATGAGCTAATGATAGGTATCCTATGTAGTTTTCATGCTCAGATGATGGAATGGATACAGTAATTAACAACGATGAACACAAAGCACTTGAATAACCCCCAACTCCTGGGAGCATCACTAGCAAGAAAATGCGGAGCTTCATCAAAAAGCTTCTGGCAAAAACAATTGCCCACACCTATGAGTTTGGGATGGTGACAACTATGAACTACAACGTTCACCTTTTGATTACATCAACCATGTCCCATCACTGCTCAGGCCACTGCTCATGCCGTGCCTTGCGTGGTACGCTCATCCTCCCAGCTGCCCCGTTCTCTCCCGAAGCCTCACTGCAAGTTTTTCAGAGGTAAATAGGCCAAGCATGGACTTAACACCAAGTTTGCATCTCCTTGGCATTGTCCAATTTTTTAGTGGTTGGAGTAATGGCTTTCACATCCCTGACTAAGAGAAGCCAAAAGGCTACTCCGCTGCTCTGCCCTCAAATCTGATAATGGAATAGTAATAGTCTATATCGACACTGTTAGCAATATAATTCCTCTGTGATTTAATGCCTATGGACATCTCTCACTAGCACTTGAAATGCATCTTCTAATTTTGGGGAGTTTTGGAGATGCAGATTAGGGACGGTGGAAGAGTCATGCAACCGAATGGGGCTGTTGTCATCACAGAGTTAACAGGGTTCTAAAACAAACGAGCACATCTGGTAAACAATGTCAATATGACCTAAAACCCCTTGAATGGGCTCATTGTAGCTACTTACTAAATATGCCTGGAATTAAATTAATTAGAAAGCACAAATTACTCCCCTCTAAATAACAATGTAATAAAGCAACTGCTTAATGAAAAATATCAGTGATCAGTGAGCAATCCGCAAGCACAAAAAAAGGGACTGTAATCAAACTAAATTCACAGACTCGTCAGCAAGGCAAGAAAGGCTTCATACAAGGTTAGTCAAAAATGAGTCAGATGCAGGGATCTAAATTAAACTAATTATCACAGAGATTATTACATTTATCTTAACAAAAACCTCTCTCTTTTCTCCCCAGTACTCCCTAAAGCTCTGTGTACAGCTGGCTGCATCCATCTGCTCAACTACGTTTTGTAACATAGGGGAAAAAATGCAAATCATTAAGCAAGTTTTGTACCATGACTTCAGCACTCTTAATGCCATTACCCATCAGGAGCAGTATTTCTGTTGCGTGACACTGTATTATGTTGTGAGTGATGCGGTCCATGAAGTAAGGCCACAACCCAGGTTATTTCATATTATTTGGCATGTGTTAATTTTGCAGGCTTGTGTGGTAAAACTTTTGGAGCTGGGAAGCTGTAAGTTCCCTAACCCTACCTACGATGACTTCATAGAATAACCCATGGGACAAAACTGTGACCCCAAGCGTTGCTGTTTCTAACATGCAGTGGTCCTCAATTTTTACAGGAACATTTTCTCAAATCTTTTGTCTTTATGGAACCAAAGTAACATGGGAAGACCACGACACATGGTAAATTCTGTTTTGCTGAGCATATACAGAATGCGATGCGTGACTACAAATCCATACCATAGCCTGGACCTGACTCTGGTGTGAGCTCAGAAGGCCACAAATGCTCAAAAATTACCTAGATGGACACCAGACACATCATGCCCTGTTCTACAGCCTTGTGCTTTAGAGACAGTGGATCAAAATGATCAAAAGTGGAATCTTAAGGAAGACCTATCTCTAGGCACCCCAGGAGTCATCCAGCCAACCCATCCAAACAGCTCGGTTATGTGAAGGCCAGTTGGCGTGAACACTTCTCCCTCCACCACAGAAAAAGAACTACATATTTCAATGGGATTTCAACTGAAGTTGGAACAATTCAGTACCAGTTTGCACAATCCACCCATAGGAAAAGGCTCTTGAAATTGCTAAGAGCCAGTCTAGAAGCCAGATGTATCATCTTATTTATTGCATATGACGTCTGTGGCTACTGCTCAACATTTTTCAGTTTTGGGGTGCTTTTGCACATGAAAGGAAAGAACAGCTGTGTCTAGATCTTTACTTCTCATGATTGTTTAACATTTCCAATCAGGACACCCTGTGGACTATCCATGTCCAACAGCAAAAAAAGCCATAGTGAGCCTAGGTGAAAAGGTTACCCATTTGGTTTTGCCATTACATGGTCTGCAGCCCAGAATGCACAACAGCTGAAAATTAGCAGGAGATGAATAAAAACGCAAGAAAAGAAACATTTCAGACTGTGTCACAAGGTTAACATTTACAGAGAAAATATTCCTGCCTGGAAAAAAAATAAAAGTAACAAGCTTTCTAAATAGTGCTGCTTACACTGTGCTGAATAAAAACCAAAGGCTGTATCAAAGAAAACAGACACTTCGAAAGATGAGGGGTAAAGTACTGGAGTCAGGGGGTACACAACCATGTATCTGGCATTGCACATTGATCACTGCTTTCTGTGTGAAAAACAAGCAACTCTAAATAATTGACGCTAATGGCCATTAGTGCCGCCGGGGGACAGGGGAGGGGAGGTTGGTGGTGACAAAGCAATCCCCTTGATTCTGTATAATCCATTGCCAAAGAATTTCTAATAAAGGACAAACACTATCTAAAAAAATAGATGGAACTTGATCTTTTCCAGACTGGAGAAAGAACAAGAAAACATACCAGAGTAATTTGCAGC